CCTGACTTTACAGTAAAACAAATACTTCGTTWTCTCTTGAGGTACTTTATGCCTGTCAAACATTATCCGCCTTCGCTGAACTTCCTCTTCACATGCAGGAGTCTATTTGTAAAGTGGCTTGGCATCAAAGGTCGGTATTGCTAAAATGTGTAAAAAAATTTTTTGTCCTTAGTCCTTCGAGCCAGTAAACCTCTTTTTCGCCGATATTTCGCAGTGGCACCTAACGAGAACAGGGATTTGTAGTTCAAAAAGAAAAAAACACGAAAAAAAATATCGCGAACAGTTCATCAATTTACCTTTCTCGGAGTTAGTCACTTTAGAAGAGCGCGCAGCATTGTGGAAAAATGTAAGATGCATGGTATTTGGCTATGCGGCACGCTATATAAACCACCATTGTTCACTTTGATCATATTGTTTTTTTATACTAGTCTCCCTGCGAACAAGATTATAATCAAGCAAGGCCACCTGCCTGAAAATTTTTACTTTATCATGTCTGGTGCCAGTAAGTAGGATAACTGTGTTATATCGTATGTGTGCTCTTAGTTCTGTCTCAGTAGCGGTATGGTCTAAGTAGACAAAGGAATCTCCTTTTCCAACCTCGTCTCCAGGGCCCTCTCTATCTCTCTCTCTCTCTCTTCAACGTAAGAGGGCCCTAAGGACGAGGTTGATTTCTTTCCCAAATCTTACTCCAGGTGTGCGCGCACATCCCCGCCACCCCCATGCGCGTCTTACAAAGAGGGGTTATTAACAAATACTCTGGCTTTGGAAAAGGGTTTAAGTTAATTCAAACACTCTATGTTCTGTCCACGAGCATCAATAAAGGCGGTGGCGTGACGAGTGGAGTGGCTATACCATGACATACCTCAGCCTTGTGATTGGATAACGCGCAACAAGACAATAGAAAGCCATTTAAGAGCTAGCATGTTTTAGCGTACCTGCCGTAAGTCAGTGCCGCACTCTGCTCACGCAAAGAATATTCCAACATGGCATTCCATTAAAATCCGTGCAATCACAATGCGTGCACATAATGTATACATCCAAAATATATCTAAGATCCTTTTGTAAGGACTGATTCGATTATATGGATTTCTAGTCACGGTTGTATCAGAGAATGACTCAACTAAAGGAGATGAAAATGTTTTTACGTCACTAGCAACTCTAAAAAGAGGGACAAGCTTTGGAGTAAGTATGGTTCTTATGGTCTTTTCACTGGAACTTTTGAACTCGATTAAAAAACAAGTGTTATCACAGTCTTTTTGTGTATTTTGTTGTTGTTGTCGTTGTCTGTCTGTCTGTCTGTCTGTCTGTCTGTCTGTTTGTTTGTTTTTGGTTGTTGAATCGTGATATGAGAGTGTGAGATTCAAAATTCCCTGCAATTTACTGAAAGCATGCAGAAAATCTTTATTCTTTTAGAAAAAATTGGAAAACGAAAAACTAAAAGAGAGATCTAATATAAGAAAGGATTACAAACTTGACGGAGTCGAATATACGTTCACACAACAAACGATCTCATGATTTATTTTGGAACTAAAGAGAAAAAGAAATATTTTTTGTTCTTTCGTCATCGTATTTAGGACACAGCGATCTTGAAGACATGTAGACGAACCGCTACTGTAGTAAGCAAGGATGCGGTACAGTTACTAGTCATCGGAAGAGAGGTAATTAATCTGCAATAATCATTAATACATGAATAATMATCATCRTCATCACTATTATCATCGTCATCATCATTACCATGACCATTATTATCACCATCATCACCAACATGATTATTATGTCACCATCACCATCATTTCCACTAATTGACCTCAGCTAGCTATTATAGTACATAATTGATAAAAACATAGCTAAGTAATGAGAACAGCTGCAAATTATTTTATCTAATTCTTCCTGATGACGAATCTTTCTCGTAGGATTATCAAAGTATATTCATGGGGAGAAGCAAGGATGGACAAGAACCGAGGCATATCAAGTTCTGCAGGTAAGATGAATAAGTCAAGGATYTTAAAAGGTCTCTCACTTCGTCAGAAAACATCACAAACTGAGCTATGAGCGCAGAAGTAGCTAAAACGGCTAAAACTTTCTCATACTGTTATGGTCTTTATCACAGGACTCTTGGATTCCTGGCCGAATTTCCTATTCATTTACTGGTTGACAACCAAACTGACTGTATGTTTCACTATTTCAGGTACGTCTATACAGCGTGCGCTCTTTATAAATCGAACTATCAATATGCCGAAATCTTACTGCGGAGTCAATTACAGAGGCAGACCGAGATGCGCAAACGAATTCCCGTGCTTAAGGGTCAGACTTTGTTTGCGCAAATTATAATGATACAGACTACACTTGCTACGAATTCTAGCTAGAGTGCATACCAACCATGTATGCATGTATCCATGAAAGACTTTGTAAGAAATTGCACAAATGTGCGCAAATTAGTAAGTTCAGTAGACCTCAGTAGACCATAGACCTACAAAACTTTGTACTACTTTGTATATATGGTATGCACTCTAATAAAGAAATATAGAGACAAGAAGATTGCGCAATCAATAAACGTGTTCATTTAGACTTTCAAGTCAAGCATGCATTCATTTTACAGTAATCCTGTCTGTATTTCTATACTTCAGAAGAGGAACCGTAATCGTTAAAGACAGCCACAAGTCCGACTGGATCTACATTGTCGTCTCGGTAAGAAGTTTCTTAGAACGTCAAGGCTGGTCATGCCTCACCTTCTCCTCTCTCCCCACCCCCACCCCCCACACTTTCACCACACTCCCTCACATCGCTGTCAGATTTTTGGCAGCGTTTTCAGATTTTTCACATCGCTTTCAGATTGATTTTTCAAATGGTTTTCGGATAGTTCCGTCATTCTCCCAAATCATTTTGCTGTTTCCAAACTTTTGAGACTACCATTACTCAGTGTCTAAATTTTCATTTTTCTGATTTCCTTATGTCTGTACATGTTAAGCAAAGTTTTCGTATTAGACAGCGTTTCATTGGCGATGTTTTCAATCATCAGGGGATGTGTGAAGTACTTCTAAACCTCGAAGAAGCCACACCCAAGTTAACAGGCAAACAGATCGACGCACAAGTATCGCACGTTGACATGCTCACTTACTTGACTGAAGAACGTCACTCTAACTTAAGTCAATACGCGCTGAATTCAAAAAATAAGAAACCAAAAGAAATAGTTAAAGGTTCGTAAACAGCCTTTCATTGTGATGAAAAAAATGACTGGAAATTGAGTTATTTCTGGTAACTGAAACCCGCGCTTTAAGAAAAGGTCGAAATAGACAAGACTTGTTAAAATGCTTAAAGAACACGTAGTTCCATGACATGACGGCGACGCCGACGGTAGCGTGACTGTGYCTCGTGATCATCTCCTCCTCGTGACAACACATAGATACACAGACGTGCGCACATTCCTATGTCTTTTCGACTTGCGGGAAAATATATCTAAAAGGCAGCGTTACCAGTAAGGCTTTCCGTCCACCTCAGGATGGTAAAGTTGGATAAATAAATTAATTAATTAACTCATTCTTAAGAACGCTGTTAGTCATAAAAGCTAAGATAGCACAATTAATGGATTAAATATAATAATTGATTGATTACAAGTTTTTCTCAAATTGAACATCTATGTATTTGTAGAGAGGCCAAGTTCTTGCGATTTACCACATATAAAAACAAAAAGTAGGGATTATTTGTCCTCCCAGAGAAAAAGAGTCGTCAGATCAGCTTTGAGTGAGTCTACGCTAAGCACTGGACGACGTAAGTACACTACCACCAAGTTTATTAGATGAATTATGGACATGTACA